CCCTTTTAATGCTAACATGGCCAATCAGTGTCTCAGTCTGATAGAAGCTGGGGTCTTCTGACACCCAGGCCAGTGTCCTATGAAAAGACTGAACTTATACCCAGTGTCATTTCTGATCTTTGTTGTCTCTGAGCTGCGGGAGGCCAGACCTTCAGTCTAAATTGGTAGGCCATTACCAGGAAGGAGCAGGCCACCCTAAAAAGATTAGAGAGCCACGTTACAGCTGGCCTGTGAGTAGGGCTTGTGGCCTCAGCCAGGGGATGTCAGTGCCCAGTGTGGACAGGCTCAGAGCTCCTTCCCACAGTCTCCGGTAGAGAGCAGCATTTACCAGCAGACCCCAGGGTTCTGTTGTCTTTCCATTTTGTTTCCCAGAGTGTCCGAGTCACTTCCTCCTCCTGCTGTCAGTTCCTGTGCCTGTGGCATTACCTTTTGACCCAATGCCTCTTCCCTGCCGTCCCTCAGCCAGTCTCTTTTGAGACATTGTTCAGATGCTGCACACACTTTTTAGAAAATTGTTTTATGCATCTGTGCTGTTTTATTTTGAAATTGGGTACTTGATTTCCTGTTTTCATTTCCTTTTATTTAACTCCTTTCCATTCTTAGGGGTCGTCTCCTCAGAGAACCTCCCTGGGTAGACCAGGCTTGGTTAGCAAGAAATTAACTGGTGACACTTGCATTTTCATTCAGCACTCAGCTTATGCAAAAGKCGGCACGATTTGGTTGCACTGTACGGTCTCCTGGTGACTAATACAGGAATGACAATAGCTAGGGCTTCCTGGGTGTCTGCCTTAGGCTGGGCATTATTCTCCATGTGTTAAATACACATTACCAACTTAGTCCTTCAACCACCTCACTGAGGGCCAAGTTCATTATTATCCCATTTTCTATAGATGAGGAAACAAAGCAAGAAAGGTTAGGTGAGTGTCGCCAAGGTCACAACCCTGGAATGTGGCAGAATGGATTCTCACTGTCAGTTTGGCTTGAGCCCATCTTAGCTAGTGCTCTATGCTCTCCTCCATTTGGGAAGCATTACTGGGGCACTGGGCTCTGTTCCAAAGGCTTTATTGGCCATTTAATCCCCACAGCAGCCCTAGCAGGTGCAGGGACTGATGTTACAATTGTGTTGTTCGCCTAGTCCTGGTCGGTGC